GGAGGGGGGAGGAGCTGAGAGGACCATCTGACTCACTTCCCTCAAAATGGAACCTTGATATTTTCACAGATTGTGTCCCCGGAGCACTCACTTGGGTTAGAGAGAGGCCCCTGATTTTATTTATTCATGCTAGAGATGGCAATACCTTGTTCTCTGGGTCCTGGGCTTTTTAAACAAGATTATTGTTAGCTTTAAAGTTAAATGACACACTGTTTGGAGGAAGAGGGAAGAGCCTTAAATGGGGTCCTTTAAAACAATGCTCCACCCGCAATGCGCTCCTCCTCTCTGCCTTGGCAGGACTGTCTGAGTCCTTTGAACAAAGACAGTAAGCATCACTGCTTCTGTTTGGGGCTAGTTTTTCTTTCTGTTTCCAGGTGAAGTGGAGAGGCAGGTACAGAAGAAGAGCATCTGTAGCTAAGAGAGAAATACACTGACCCCATTTCCAGTGGTTGAGCTTCTCTCCGAGTAGGTAGATGCTGGCGACGAAGATGTAGCTGAGAGAGAAGAAAGCTGCTAGCCCCACGGGGCTGAGTTTGGCAAGCAGAGGATACACCCAGGTACCCGTCTCAAAGTAGATCCATAGGATCCTGCAGGAAACAAGAAGTCACGGTGATGAGAGCAGGAGGAGAAAAACAAGCCATTTTCTCATCAGGATCAGTGAGGTACTGGAACCCAGGCAGGGGAAAAGAACCCATCAGGGACGTTTGTCAACAGCTGTAGTATTCCTACAAACCTACAGAAGTGAGGCTTTTCTGGGTAAATCAACTTGATTCAATAAGACATGCTGTTTTATGGGTTGAGCTGGGCTGTTTTATCTAATATTTTAAAAATTGACATCGGGGAAAGCATATAAGAGAACATAGGGCAGGGCACCATGGCTCAGGCCTATAATCCCAGCACTTTGGGAGTTTGAGGCAGGTGAATCACCTGAGGTCAGGAGTTCAAGACCAGCCTGGTCAACATGGCGAAACGCCATCTCTACTAAAAATATAAAAAGTTAGCCGGACATGGCGGCTCAGGCCTGTAATCCCAGATACTCAGGAGGCTGAGGCAGAAGAATCACTTGAACCTGGGACGCAGAGGTTGTAGTGAGCTGAATCACTCCAGCCTGGGCAACAAGAGTGGAACTTCATCTCAGAAAAAAAAAAAAAGGGAACATAGAACACATCAC